GGCACTATTCCTCCCACTGACACCAATGATGGGGCACTATTCCTCCCACTGACACCAATGATGGGGCACTATTCCTCCCACTGACACCAATGATGGGGCACTATTCCTCCCACTGATTTCAATGATGGGCACTATTCCTCCCACTGACACCAATGATGGGGCACTATTCCTCCCACTGATACCAATGATGGGGCACTATTCCTCCCACTGACACCAATAATAGGGTGCTATTCCTCCCACTGACACCAATGATTGGGCACTATTCCTCCCACTGATACCAATAATAGGGTGCTATTACTTCTACTGACACCAATGATTGGGCACTATTTCAGCTACATTTTCCACTCCCACTGGTTACAGTCTGGCCCCCCTAAAGTCAGAAGACCAGAAAACTGGCTCTTTGTTCAGACAGTTTGGAGACCCCTGTTATAGACAAAAAGACATCAAAATGAAACTTTCTTTTATCAGTTTTAGTAAAAAAAAAATATGATAGTTCTAGTTCTGTCCTCTATAGGTGACACTAAAATTATGTTTATGGTGCAAAGCACAGCAGAGGAGTTTCCCCGTTCTTTTGGTATGTGACCAGAGCAATTTCCACTATAGACCTGTTCATTTGGGGAAAACTGTGTCATTTAAGACAATAAAGTAATACATATGTTGTGTTTTAGGGGATTAAATAGGATTTCTTTCATCAATGTCATCTTGCAGAAATTAGACAAAAAAGCATAAAGGGGGGGGGGGGTTACCACTTTTATATTTACAGTCAGGTCCATAAATATTGGGACATGGACACAATTCTAACATTTTTGGCTCTATACACCACCACAATAGATTTGAACTGAAACGAACAAGATGTGCTTTAACTGCAGACTGTCAGCTTTAATTTGAGGGTATTTACATCCAAATCAGGTGAACACTGTAGGAATTACAACAGTTTGCATATGTGCCTCCTACTTGTTAAGGGACCAAAAGTAATGGGACAATTGGCTTCTCAGCTGTTCCATGACAAGGTGTGTGTTATTCCCTCATTATCCCAATTACAATGAGCAGATAAAAGGTCCAGAGTTCATTTCAAGTGTGCTATTTGCATTTGGAATCTGTTGCTGTCAACTCTCAAGATGAGATCCAAAGAGCTGTCACTATCAGTGAAGCCATCATTAGGCTGAAAAAACAAAACAAACCCATCAGAGAGATAGCAAAAACATTAGGCGTGGCCAAAACAACTGTTTGGAACATTCTTAAAAAGAAGGAACGCACCGGTGAGCTCAGCAACACCAAAAGACCCGGAAGACCACGGAAAACAATTGTGGTGGATGACCGATTAATTCTTTCCCTGGTGAAGAAAACACCCTTCACAACAGTTGGCCAGATCAAGAACACTCTCCAGGAGGTAGGTGTATGTGTGTCAAAGTCACCAATCAAGAGAAGACTTCACCAGAGTGAATACAGACGGTTCACCACAAGATGGAAACCATTGGTGAGCCTCAAAAACAGGAAGGCCAGATTAGAGTTTGCCAAACGACATGTAAAAAAGCCTTCACAGTTCTGGAACAACATCCTATGGACAGATGAGACCAACATCAACTTGTACCAGAGTGATGGGAAGAGAAGAGGATGGAGAAGGAACTGCTCATGATCCTAAGCATACCACCTCATCAGTGATCATGGTGGTGGTAGTGTCATGGCGTGGGCATGTATGGCTGCCAATGGAACTGGTTCTCCTGTATTTATTGATGATGTGACTGCTGACAGAAGCAGCCGGATGAATTGTGAAGTGTTTCGGGAATATTATCTGCTCATATTCAGCCAAATGCTTCACAACTCATTGGACGCTTCACAGTGCAGATGGACAATGACCCAAAGCAGACTGCAAAAGCCACCAAAGAAGTGGAATGTTCTGCAATGGCCAAGTCCATCACCTGACCTGAATCCGATTGAGCATTTCACTTGCTGAAGACAAAACTGAAGGTAAAATGCCCCAAGAACAAGCAGGAACTGAAGACAGTTGCAGTAGAGGCCTGGCAGAGCATCACCAGGGATGACACCCAGCGTCTGGTGATGTCTATGCGTTCCACACTTCAGGCTGTAATTGACTGCAAAGGATTTGCAACCAAGTATTAAAAGTGAAAGTTTGATTTATGATTATTATTCTGTCCCATTACTTTTGGTCCCTTAACAAGTGGGAGGCACATATGCAAACTGTTGTAATTCCTACACCGTTCACCTGATTTGGATGTAAATATCCTCAAATTAAAGCTGACAGTCTGCAGTTAAAGCACATCTTGTTCATTTCATTTCAAATCCATTGTGGTGGTGTATAGAGCCAAAAATGTTAGAATTGTGTCCACGTCCCAATATTTATGGACCTGACTGTATATTATCAGTGTAATTAACAAAAATAGTTTTACTGTAAATAACCGTATACAATTTGATTTATAATTTGCTCTGTTCAAAATATCAATTAAATGATGTTTATGGTTTAAAGCATGACAAAGGAGTTTGTGCATTCTCTTGTTAGGTGACATTAACCTCTTCCCGTCTGCCCTACAGCAGAAGTATTGCTACAGGGGGTGGCACGGGTGCTGAAAATCATGCATATATATGTGACTTTGCATTTCTGGGTAGGGGGGGGGGGCGCGCCGTGCCATCATTCACGGCTGCAGCTATCAATCACCGGGTCCTGGCCGGTGATTACTCGCTGGTACCTGGTGAATGCCGAGCATCTCTGACCGGGGGGGGACAAAAACAAAACAGTTCTCCTCCTTGTCAGCTCCAGCACACTGCTTTGCATGGCTCTGCATAGCAGTGTGTTTACAGTGAAGCACTAATGCACTAGCAATCATCACACAGTTCACCCTTTGATCGCCCCTCATGTTAACCCCTTCCTGCCCAGTGTCATTAGTACAGTGTCAGTTCCCCCCAGTGTCAGAATGCCGCCACAGTCCCGCTATAAGTCACTGATCACCGCCATTACTAGTAAAGATTAAAAAAATAATGCCAGTATATATACCGCCAATTGTAAATGCTATAACTTTCACATAAACCAATTAATTTACACGAATTGGGATTTTTTTTAGCAAAGATATTAAGCAGAATACATTTTGGCCTAAATTTATGACAAAATTGGATTTTTTTTTCTATTTTTAGTGGGCGTGCTTAATAGCAAAAAAGTCAAAAATATTGTTTTGGGGTTTTTTTTCAAAATTGTCGGTCTTTTTTTTTTTTATAGCGCAGAAAATAAAAAATGCACAGGCGATCAAATACCACCGAAAGAAAGCTCTATTCATGGGAAAACAAAGGACATACATTTAATTTGGGTGCAGCGTTGCATGACTGTGCAATTGTCAAAGTAACGCAGCGCCATATTGCAAAAAATGGCCTGGTCAGGAAGGGGGAGAAATCCTCTGGAGGGCAAGTGCTTAAAAAAAGTAACAAACAAAACAAAGAAAAACTTATAAATGGTAAAAAATAGAATTAAAAAAAAGATCAGCAGCAAATAATATCTATGGGGAGAAGGGGAGTTGATTAGGGCATAGCACTAACTAATGGTTTACAAAGGTGTTAAATAGTAATACAGATGTTGCATAAAAAAAAATAGCTTGTATGATCTCCTCAAGTAACATTGTATACTGATCAAAGGTCACAAATCCGATCTACGTGTGAATGAAATAGTGAATACAAACAATACAATGCTTTATAAATTCAATAACACTTTCAGACTATCTGACATTTTACTCGGGAGCATTTTGCCAGCCTATTATTATTATACAGGATTTGTATGGCGCCAACAGTTTGCTCAGCACTTTACAAAATGAAGGCAGACATTACAGTTACAATACAATTTGGTACAAGAGGAAGCAGAGGGCCCTGATCCTGGGAGCTTACAATCTAGGAGGAAGGGTTGAGTGATACAAAAGGTAATAGCTGTGGGGGGGATAAACTTATGGAGGAAATAAATAGCAGTTTACTAGGTAGAAGCAGGATAGGCTTCTTTAATGAGGTTTTCAGGGATCGTCTAAAGGTGGATAAATTAGAAGACAGCCGGACAGATTGAGGTAGAGAGTTCCATAGGATAGGAGAAGCTCGGGAGAAGTCCTAGAGGCGAGCATGGGAGGAGGTGAAACAGGAACTAGAATCAGAAGGTCTTGGGAGGATCGAAGAGAGCGGCTTGGTTGATATTTTGAGACCTGGTTGGTGATGTAGCTGGGGGCAGAGTTGTGGATGGCTTTGTAAGTTGTTGTTAGTATTTTGAATTGTATTTTTTTGGGCGAGTGGAAGCCAGTGGAGGGATTGGCAGAGAGGGGTGGAGGGATTGGCAGAGAGGGGTGGAGGACACTGAATGGAGGCCAGCGGGGATTGGCAGAGAGGGTGGAGGACACAGAATGGAGGCCAGTGGAGGGATTGGCAGAGAGAGGTGTGGAGGACACTGAATGGTGGCCAGTGGAGGGATTAGCAGAGAGGGGTGGAGGACACTGAATGGAGGCCAGTGGAGGGATTGGCAGAGGGGGGTAGAGGACACTGAATGGAGGCCAGTGGAGGGATTGGCAGAGAGGGGTGGAGGACACTGAATGGAGGCCAGTGGAGGGATTGGCAGAGAGGGATGGAGGACACTGAATGGAGGCCAGTGGAGGGATTGGCAGAGAGGGGTGGAGGACACTGAGTGGAGGCCAGTGGAGGGATTGGCAGAGAGGGTGGAGGACACTGAATGGAGGCCAGTGGAAGGATTGGCAGAGAGGGGTGGAGGGATTGGCAGAGAGGGGTGGAGGACACTGAATGGAGGCCAGCGGAGGGATTGGCAGAGAGGGTGGAGGACACAGAATGGAGGCCAGTGGAGGGATTGGCAGAGAGGTGTGGAGGACACTGAATGGTGGCCAGTGGAGGGATTAGCAGAGAGGGGTGGAGGACACTGAATGGAGGCCAGTGGAGGGATTGGCAGAGGGGGGTAGAGGACACTGAATGGAGGCCAGTGGAGGGATTGGCAGAGAGGGGTGGAGGACACTGAATGGAGGCCAGTGGAGGGATTGGCAGAGAGGGATGGAGGACACTGAATGGAGGCCAGTGGAGGGATTGGCAGAGAGGGGTGGAGGACACTGAGTGGAGGCCAGTGGAGGGATTGGCAGAGAGGGTGGAGGACACTGAATGGAGGCCAGTGGAGGGATTGGCAGAGGGGGGTAGAGGACACTGAATGGAGGCCAGTGGAAGGATTGGCAGAGAGGGGTGGAGGGATTGGCAGAGAGGGGTGGAGGACACTGAATGGAGGCCAGCGGAGGGATTGGCAGAGAGGGTGGAGGACACAGAATGGAGGCCAGTGGAGGGATTGGCAGAGAGGTGTGGAGGACACTGAATGGTGGCCAGTGGAGGGATTAGTAGAGAGGGGTGGAGGACACTGAATGGAGGCCAGTGGAGGGATTGGCAGAGAGGGTGGAGGACACTGAATGGAGGCCAGTGGAGGGATTGGCAGAGAGGGATGGAGGACACTGAGTGGAGGCCAGTGGAGGGATTGGCAGAGGGGGGTAGAGGACACTGAATGGAGGCCAGTGGAGGGATTGGCAGAGAGGGGTGGAGGACACTGAATGGAGGCCAGTGGAGGGATTGGCAGAGAGGGATGGAGGACACTGAATGGAGGCCAGTGGAGGGATTGGCAGAGAGGGGTGGAGGACACTGAGTGAAGGCCAGTGGAGGGATTGGCAGAGGGGGGTAGAGGACACTGAGTGAAGGCCAGTGGAGGGATTGGCAGAGAGGGTGGAGGACACTGAATGGAGGCCAGTGGAGGGATTGGCAGAGAGGGTGGAGGACACTGAATGGAGGCCAGTGGAGGGATTGGAGGAGGGGGGTAGAGGACACTGAATGGAGGCCAGTGCAGGGATTGGCAGAGAGGGGTAGCAGACCCTGAATGGTTAGTAAGGTAGAGGGACCTGGCAGCAGCAGTCATGACAGACTGGAGGGGGGATAGCCTATGTAAATGTATAACCGGTATTATTGGTAGAAGAGCGATGGTAGGGGCAGAGGAGCTGCTAAAAATGTTAAAGATTTTAGGATGTATCGTTTGTATTCCTTGTACATAACTTGTGGTAGTAAAGTGTCTTTTATAGAAACCTGCTGACAGGCAGGCATTATATTATATTGTAAAAGAGACTTGCCAGTCCAGCTGCCAGGACTACCAATCAAAAGTTCAGATTCCAAGAAATAGGCCTTGAAGATTCTTCAGAACTGACACGTCCTGGACTGATCTCAGTGGTTTTTCCCGCTGACTCCAAACATAGTGCAGGAACATTGCAAATGTCTAATAACATGTAAAGATTTTATGTTTATTTAATTTTTCTTTTCTTTTACTTACCTTTACAGGACCAGTTCACAATTTTTCTTTCCCAGGTGAGAAATGTAGTTCATGTGTGAAATCATGTGACTATATACTTCAAAATGTGCTACAATTCATAGCCATTGAACAAGCTGCACAGTGCAGGGATAATTTTGCAGGGGGAACCGTATATAACGGTATAAAACATTTGCTTTAGATATATTTCAAAGTATACCTGCAGTGCAAGCATATTATATAGTCTATGGTATGGGATAACAGGTCCCGGGACCCCGGGAACCTGTAGTGTACTAATTTTTAAATACCAACTTCAAAAAGTCTCTGCTTCACATTTGTGGGTGAGCACGGGGGAATGGGGTGCTTTGCATTTTTTTTTATTCTTTTACTATTTTTTTATACCTTTATTTTTTGTTAACTTTATTGCTATTACAAGGGATGAACAACATCCCTTGTATTAGCATGGGCCATGATAGGTCCTCCTTATGGAGAGATCTGGGGTCTGGTTGGTTGCCTTACTGGCTGTTAACAGCCAGGTAAACAAGGAACAGAAACCGGAAGTGACCAAATCCTTGCTGTTTCCTGTCTCTGACATAAAACAATGGGAGAAACAACTTTCTTTCCTCTCACTGTGTGCTCAGAGTAAGATGCCATGGTTGCATTCTTACCGGGCGCCCATATTGTGCAGGAAAGCCCAGTAAAGGAGGTGGTGGCGGAGGGAGGGGGTGGGACCCCATTTCTCCGATTGTAAAAGTAATCCAGCTGCTCATAGCAGCTAGGATTATTTTTACTTTGTAGGAAATTGCCCAACAAAATGATGTCTTGATCATTGCTGCAGTGATGATCCCGGGCCACAAAATTTCCACTCGCCTGCTCGCATATGGCAAGTGGAAATAACATGGGGGCGAGTGTGTTCCACAGGGTTGTCTGTACATCGGCACTGGCAGAGAGCATTCAGACTGCTAAATACGCGGAGCAAAGTGAAAGCAAAGGGACAGGGAGTGTCTGCTGTGCTCTCTGCCTCCTCCTAGAATGCAGTACCCTGCTGTGCGATGGATGGCTGTATACATGTGTTTGTGTGTACATGTGTGTGCATGTATCTGTGTGTGTTTATGTACATGTGTCTGTATGTGTGTGTACACGTATCTGGATGTGTGTGTACATGTGCCTGGATGTGTGTGTACACGTGTCTACGTGTGTGTGTGTGTACATGTGTGTGTATTTGTGTGTGCATGTACATGTGTCTCTGTGTGTGTATGTACATGTGTCTGTATGTGTGTGTGTACATGTGTCTGTATGTGTGTATTTGTCTGTATGTGTGTGTGTACAGGTGTCTGTATGTATGTACATACGTATGTGTGTATATGTGCGTGTACATGTGTCTGCATGTGTGTGTACGTGTGTCTGTATGTGTGTATAAGCATATGGGTGATTTGGTCAGGTTAAGGATGATGTGGTTATTCTGGTGGCAGAGTTTGGGGGGCATTTGAAGTTCTGCTGGGTGGAAAAGAAGGTAGGATATGCTGGATGGAGTTATGGTTTGGTGAGTGAGAGATTATGGGGGTTTATGGTTGTATACGGTGCATGGTCTATATATGATGAAGGATTTAGGGGGACATTGGGGACCCTGATGTGTTTTGGAGGGACCCTGATGTAATGTGGGGGGACTCTGGGGACCCTGATGTAATGTGGGGGGACTCTGGGGACCCTGATGTAATGTGGGGGGACTCTGGGGACCCTGATATGTGGTGGGGACATTGTGGACCCTGATGGAATGTGGGGGACTCTGGGGACCCTGATGTAATGTAGGGCTGGGCAGGGTAGAGGTTGGGTGGGGCAATAGGTGGCGAGTAACTCTTAAGGCCTAGCTAGTAGCTCAGGACTTGAAATTTTGAGCTCTGCCCTTCCCATCCGCGGATGTTCATATACACATATGGCGGATGGGAAGTGAATATTGGAATGGCCCAGGATTGTGCATGTGGTGAGCTCTCTATACTATACGGTGATTTTATTAGAAATGTGATCCTTTTCAGTTGTTTTGACTTTTGTTTTTTAAATTTCAAGTTATAAGAGAGAGTTACAGGTCATGTCTTGCAGCTGATTTGCTTGTTTGGTCTGGCTTAATAACTAGTTTCTCCTTTTGTTACCAGCTAAACAGGAAGCAAGTTGTGGGATTCTTCTCCAGTTGCTCCGAGGAAGATTATAGATGGTTGATGGATCTGGTTGATCGTCATGTTAAAGGAGTTCACTCCTCTTGTATTGGCAACAGTGGCTTCCATCATTTCATGCAAGATGTGCAACAATGTACACTTGGGATCCTCTATCACACCATGAAACGGGGGAGGATCAATATTTCCGATGTGACTGATGCTATCTATGACCAACACTTGGGATACATGTCTTCCCAGCTTGGTGTGTAAAACAGAGGAACTCCTCTAAGTTCTTTTATTTGTTGTAAATTTCTCATTACAAATGGAAGTTTTATAAGATGAGGGTGTAGGAGTTACTTTTTTGTTTCTTCAGCTATGCAAGAACCACATGTCCTATGGACACAAATCAGAGGCACCAATCCATTGCTGGGACATGTTGTTTGGGGACTAGAACACCATCTATTGAATTATCTTTTTGCCCAGGAGCTAACAGGACAGGCTACATAATATTTCTCAAATTCAGAAGACTTCTCCCGAATGGGGTGGGACTGAAGTTTCTTTCTATATGGTTCTGTGTTATGAATTTTCCCCCCAATGCTCCAGTATATGAAGTCTGCATCAGTTCAGAGAGAGTGGGGTGCTCCAACCAGGGAACTCATTGGCTGATTCTTTCCTGGCTATAGTTCAGGGCCGTTTAGAGAAAAAAATGATTGTAACTAGCAGAAAGGACATGTTGGGTGGGACTACAAACAATCTGAGAAGCAATTGCAAGGACTATAAGTAGATTTACAGTTTTGTTAAAGTAGAACTAAAGGAAAACACTTTTTTTTTTTCATCTTGGATAGAGTACAGGAGGGTTAAACCCCTATTGGTTCTTTTTGGCCATCTGTGACCCATTGGGGAGATTTATCTTCACTTCCTGTCCCATAGCCAAAACCGGAAATGAGAGGAAATCCCTCCAAAGTGAGGGAATCCCTTGGCAACCCCCACGCCACCAGAACTAGTGTCCCCATTGGAAGATTTCCCCTCTATTACTTTTCTGGGGACAACCCAAAATGTGGGTTTTTGTTTTTACTTTCACTTTTTCAATGATAATGGTAAACAGGACAAATAGAGAGGGTGAATCTCCCTAACGGGGGCACAGACAGCAAGAACAACTGACAGGGGGTCTAATCCCTCTCCACTCCATCCAAAAATAAAGAAAAATGTTTTGCCTTTAGTTATACTTTAACCCCTCGCCCTCCAGAGGATTTCCCCTCTTCCCGGCCAGGCTATTTTTTTTGCATTACAGCGCTGCGTTAATTTAACTAATTGCGCGGTCATGCAACGCTACACCCAAAAGAAATTTACGTGCTTTTTTTTTCTATGAATTGAGCTTTCTTTTGTTGCTGTTTGTTCACCTGTGCGGTTTTTATTTTTTGCGCTATAAAAGAAAAAGTCCGACAATTCTGAAAAAAGAAACAACATTTTTGACATTTTGCTATTCAACATGTCCCGTTAAAAAATGTAAAAATCAAATCTCATCATAAATTTCGGCCAAAATGTATTCTGCTCCGTGTCTTTGCTAAAATAAATCCCAATACGTGTAAATTAATTGCTTTACGTGAAAGTTATAGCGTCTACAAATGGCGGTATACATAATGGGATTTTTTTACTAGTAATGGCAGTGATCAGCGACTTATAGCGGGACTGTGGCGGGCATTCTGACACTGGGGGAGAACTGACTTGGTGTCACTGAGATCCCCAATGACACCATTACAGTGATCAGTGCTAATAAAAAGCACTGACACTGTGCTAATGGCACTGGGCAGGAAGGGGTTAACATGTGGGGGAGATCAAAGGGTTAACTGTGTGCTGTGTGTGTCTTTCACTGTAAGCACACTGCTTTGTATGGTTCTGTTATGCAGAGCCATACAAAGCAGTGTGCAGGAGCTGACAAGGGAGAGAACTGTATTGTTTACATACAGTTCTCTCTCCCCATCGGTATTACTCGGTGACCACTGGCTGTCGGCGAGTAATCACCGTCCGGGACCCGGTGATTGCCAGTCGAGGCTGCGAATGGCAGCGCAAGTATGGCGCGCACGCCCCCTACCCGGTAAGACAAAATCATGTGTATATATACAT